TCTCCCTGTTTCCACTTTTTATGTGCTCCCCTTTTGGCCCTTAGGCTGCCCTGGATTTGTGGTCAGCCAGGGAAGCCTCCTGGCCCCTTTCCCTCTTTTACCTCGCATGGGGATCATCTCGCTTTGTGCCCGAAGGATCGTTTCCTTAAGGCACAGCCACCCTTCTTGGGCTCCCATCACTTCAAAACTCCTACTCTGCAGTGCGTCCTTGACTAATCGCCTGAGTTCATTGAAATCAGCTTTCCTAAAGTCTAGCACTTTCACCCTACTAGTTACCTTACCCACTCGACATCTTATGGTGAATTCTATTATTAGGTGATCACTGTCCCCCAGATAGCTAGCAATCTGTAGGTCCCCTACCATGTCATCCCCCGTTGTCAATACCTGAGCGGTCACTGACCCAAGATCCCAGCCTCACCTACTCATCCCACTCCTGAACACAACTCCCCGATCCCATCTGCCTACTTACGCACCCTACCCACACAGGTCCCACCCTCAGCAGTAGATGTGGGGCAGACTTGCTGGGGTGCTTGGGCAGCGGGCCCAAGGCTGGCAGGGGCTGCAGCCAGGAGCTACTGGGAAGCAAGTCCAGCTGCCATGTCACCCCAGTCCCACTACATGCCCAGGGGTGGTGGGACTCACCATATGCACCATGGGCCAGACTGCCCCTTGGAGCTGGCCTGGGCTTGATTGAAAGACCTGCCACAGTCCAGGGCCCCGTGCCGGGGCGGGGGGGGGGGGGGGGGGGGGGAGTGTACACGCAGTAGAGAGAGACACCACCTGATTAGCTGTTGGCACTGAAGTTCAGGCAGCCCAATCAGCTATTACTGTGGTGCCAGCAGTAGATCAGGAGAGCCCATGATAGGCTCCTCTGGAGGTGGGGGCAAGCCCCCTGGCTGGAGAGCTGGCCTCTGAAGGCACTCTGTAATGTGCTAGACGTGCACATCCCCAGGACACTCCATGAACATGTGTGCACAGCTTTAGCTGGCACCTGCTATGAGCTGGGGCTCAATAGGAATCAAACCTGAGGTGCTGGCACCATCTAGTGGTAGATTTGTGCTACTAAAAATACCTTTTTATCCCATTTGCAAAATATTAATATAAAAGGGATTATAAATGGTTAAAAGGCTCACCATTTGACCATGTTGCCACTGCAGCTTCTGTCTGGCTGGGCCAGGACCAGGGCTGCTGCCAACTACCCCAGAAGGCAAGTTGGGAAGGGAGAGAGGAGACAGGAACAACAGGATATGGGGGATGGGGCCCTTAACCCCCCCAAACACACGCGCGCGCGCGCACACACACACACACACACACACTGCTTTCCAAACCACAGCAGTGGGGGATGATGAGAACACAAAATTTAAAAAGACAACCCTCGAATAACTAGATTCTGTATGTGGAACAAGTATAACAAAATTTAAAGTTGATTGTATACATGGAAATTAATGGGGGGGGGTGTTCTTAACTTCAAGTAGTCTTAGATTCAGGTAAATGGAGACAGTCAATTAGATCATTTAAATAAATAAATCAAATCAAATCACCCAAGCGTTCTCTGTAAGCCACCCACAAATGGAATCTTAAAGTGACCACTGCTGGCACCCCTTGACCAGCCTGCGGCTCTTTCCTGACCTCCAAACATTTCTGCTGTCTGTCATAAAATTTGATCTATGAGATACTGGCCCCCATCAGCATGGACTGTGCTGGGCTGCTGTCTGTACTGACTTCAGAAGTAAACCCATGCTTGATTAGACATGACATACTCCTTGTTTCTCGCCCGTCTGCACATCAAAGGAGCATAGGGAATGTCACTGTGAAGCATGACACCCAGTAGACACAAAGGAAATATACTTGGCCCAGTGCAGTGCCAGCCTTGCAGTAAGATTGTTCCCTTGGAGTGTTTACCGTGATGCTGGGCATTCACCATTAAGGCACATGTATTGCTTCTGTCTGCTAGCTCAGGACACGTAGCCTGTGCTTCATTATGGTGCTCCTGAGTAGCCATTTGATGTAGACATTTGACAAGTGTTAGATGGGGTCCAGGGGGAGGCAACTTACCAGGCTTGGGCTTCAAGAAGCCATTGCTCACATCATCACAGTTAACAGGAATAGACTCCCCATTCACTTCCTTGTAAATATCAAACTCTCCTGCCAGCGTATGGATCACTACTGGCAGGTCCTTTTCCCGTACCTGTGAAGGGGAGGAGAAATGTTTACTTGCTCATGCTTTAGCTTAGCCTCCACTATCCCCCAGAGTCTTCTGCTCCCCTCTGCCTTCCTCCTGCTCACACACAGAAGGAAGAACCAAGATTCTAACAAGTTCTTTAACCAAACTGACCCATCTAACATTTCAACCAAGCACTTGCATCACCACTGTAGACAGAAGGAGGATCCCCCTAGGACCTCCCTTTTTGTTACAAGAGAAACTCACCCTTGTCACCCTCAGAAGAGCACTCCACTACCTAATACCCTGAATCACAACCTGGTGTCCAGGAAGTGAATACATTCATCTGACTATGCAGATCAGGAGCGTCAAAATCACCAGGGCCCATAAGCTAGAGAAGTGGCATGGGCTGGTCCGCAGGCCAGATTGGCCACACAGACACCCCCCCCGGCATACCTGATCTGGCAGCCACTGCAGCTGGTCTGGGATCTGCACAGCATGTGCTGCAGATTCTGGAGTGGTCTGAATGGGTGCTGCAAGATGGCACTGTCTGGTCAGAACAGCAGGTGAACTGCTTGAGGTGGCCACCCCAGCCAGACTGCACCACATGCAGCACCCACCCCAGCAGCTTCAGGACCTATGCTGCATGTAGAACCTGCAGATGCCACGTGCCATGCAGGTCCTGGGCCAGTTGGAATAGGCATCACATGTGGTGGACATCCCAGAGTGGGAGCCATATACAGTGCAGTCTGGTCAGGGCAGGCAGTGTGCAGCATAGCTGCCACTCCAGCCAGACTAAGCTGCATGTAGTGCTGATTCCAGACCAACTGGAGCAGCTGTCAGATGAGGTACAATGGGGAAGAGGAAAAAAAGGGGTCCATGGGCCCAATCTGGCCCTCAGACTAGCCCCATGCCACAGATGTGCATTGTGCCCCAGGCCTGATACAGCCTTTTAGACTGGTCCCATGCCATGGGTATGAACTGTGCCTTGTGTGGGTTTGACCAGACTCAGAGGCAGCACTGGGGGCCAAATGGGAGGGCTCTGCAGACCAGATCCAGCCTGTGCGCCATACTTTTGACACCTCTGCAATAGATGAATGGTGCAAAAGCTCTGGTTATTGTTACTCAAATGCACCTTTGTGAAGTTGCTTCCCCAGCTCCTTCCTTAAGGCTAGATAGGGGCCTCCACTCATAACCTATACCCAAGAGGGCTTGCTCTAAGATCATGGACATGGGACTCACCAAGATGAAGTCTGTCTGGTAGGTAGACAGCATCAGCACTGAGACATTGTGCTCTGCCAGCGGTGCAATGACTGACTTGGCAATCTTTGTCACTCCTGCAGCCTGGAAGCTGGTAGACGATCTGCCATTGGATAAGACATTGAGCACCAGCCAGGTGGAATCTACCACCTGCATGAACTCGGATGGAGGCAGCTCTGAAATACAAAGAGGCTGTAAGAATTTTTGCAGGGGCTCTGCCTGCACTTCAAGACAGTATAATGAGATAATGTCATGTCACTATGTTACCTGGCATATAGCCCTCTCTCCCCAGAACTTCAAGTACTTTACAAAAGGTGGTTTGAGGTTATTGGGTTTGTTTACAATTCAGAAAATCGATGCACGTTATATAAAGGAGGTCCTCAGTTATTCTGCACTAGCCTCTGGTTTTATCTTAACTTACTTTTGAAGTGGACTGCAAGGTACTCCTGGGGCAGAACATGAGTGGCTACATGGGCAGCTAGAGCAGAAATCACCATCTTGGAACACTTCCCTCATGCATGTGGGTAAGCTTCAACTAACCTTACACTCACACTCCACATCTACTTGCTGTGTCCCTAACCATCTCACTCAGTTCTCCAGCTACTGCTGCTCCACATCCTGGCAAAGCTTTCTGAAATGAGATTCTGGGAGGTTCCGAAAGGTCCTCAATGCCCTGTGGGACAGCACTGAACTGGTGCAGGTTACACGCATCCATACTGACTTAATTCTTTCTGGTGCCAAGACGACTTAAGACTCAACTAGTTCTTTACACTGCTCCATGCATCTCAGTTTGACAGCTGCTGAAACGCATGCAAGCCAGTAACTGCTATCTTTAGATCACTGGATTTCTCTACTATATGACAGGTCAACAATTCAGCACAGAGTTGAGAACATCTCCCCGAGTTTCTGACCCCAAGCTGTCCTCTCCAGAGTGCAACGCTGTTCTGTACTGCCTGGTTCTAAGTGAATGCAATCCCTGCTTGGCTCAGAATTAAGCTTAGGAGAGAAGATGACTCAAGAGACTAGTGCTGTTTAAACCCACCAGGCTTTAAAGGGCACTTATAAATGTACTCCAGGAGGTGGGGGTGAGGTGTTTAAATTAGAGCAGCTCCAAGAGCCAATCTAATTAAAGTGCCTGGAGCATCATGTGCATCAGCATCCCTGCACTGAAAAATTGCAACAGGGGTGTTTTAACTAAAGCTCAGACAAGCTTTAGCTAAAGCACCCTGTGCAGGGACACTGATAGACGTGATGCAGGAGGCTGCTGGAGCATGGTAATTGCCAAACTCCAGCAGACTTGATTAGTTGAACTTGCTCCAATGCACTGTAAAGACAGTGCATTGGAGCAGCTTCTGCATATAGGTATCCTAAAGCAATACACAGTGGCAAGTTCCCTGGCAAACAGGAGAACCTGGACTAGAGCAGGAGCATGACAGCTCAAATAGGAGGTTAAAGGAGCTGAATGTGCAGACCCCAGCTGGGTCCATCCTGCACTGGGATGTCGTCAGTAAATACCAGAGATGTGCCCAGAACAGTGCTCTCTAGCCTGGTCACTCAGGAGGCTGGCATGAAAGTCATTCATTCCCACAAGTAACCTACAGGGAAAAAAATAAATACTCTCCTTTTCCAAGCAGGGCAAGAATGGAAAAAAATGACAGCTTGTCAAAGGAGAACACAGGAAGTCTGGAGAGCACAGGCAGGTAAGCAATCCCCACTTAGCTACTGCTGCCTCATGGACAAACCTGGCCATTGCTTAAGAGCAATGTGTGTGCAGCAGCATGGCAAACTGCTGCCTAGGAGCCAAGAGATCCACGCAAGGCAACAGCAGAACTCTGTGCAGACATCAGTCAGAAGTAGGCCCCTGCCCTATTCATGGGATGGGGCTGAGAGTTAGGATGCCTGTGCATGGCTTCCTCACAGCTTCAAACATAACTGTAGAGTCAGTTAAGCTATGCCAGGGGGTCATCCAATTGCTCCCAATCCCCTAAGCAGGCTGTTCAGCATGGCAATGGTATTATTGTGTGGGAAGGCCTGTCCTCAGTCACTAGTAGAGTGGATCCTCCCCACAAGGCAGCTGTCAGCGCTGCCAAAAGCAAGAACTCCCAGTGCTGCCAAGAGCACAGAACATATCTGGCTCCCAGTCCAGGAGCCAACAAAAGCAAGCGCTGCACAGCACAAGCTGCAGTCAGTTGTGCCCCAGCCAGCTTCCAGGGCAGTGAGGCTCTGCAACACTTGCTCCTTGGCATCTCCAGCAGGAAGGTCACTGCCATGCAAGTACAAGCACCCACAGCAGGTGCCAAGGCTGCTCCCCACACCCAGCTACCTTTCCTGCCTGGGACACTTCCCAGAACTGGAGTGCCTGCCAGCAAGCTTCCTGTACCGTTACAGCATTTCCAGCAGGAAGCCAGTCCCTGTATTCTAGGTTGTAACAAGGCAGCTCTGCTGAATTGAAAGAAAACAAGCAGGCAGGCTTGAGAGCCATTGAAAAGCAGGGAGCATCAAAGAAGTCCATAAACCTTCTACAACAAGCATAAAAGACCCGCCCTTTGCCATGCAGCAATTGCCAGCCTGCTCATAGGAGATCCTACTGAAGTTGCTGCTCTAGTACAGCAAGTGATATCAATTTCTCTAGTCCCGATTTGTTAAGGCTCACTAGCTCCAAGCACTGTACTAGCAGGACTAGGACACCTCAAGGATTCTCTACAGGCAAGCTGCTGCCATGAGTGATGGCTTGGTTCCAACAGCACAGCATAGCACAGATTACCGGTGGCAGGGCTTGCTAGACTGAGTCAATCGTGTCTGGTGCATCTTGGAGGTTGTATGTACAGCTCTGCACAAGTCTTAGGACACTGAATCATGCCCAAAGTAACCAAAAGGAATTCCAGCCTTACATTAATTAATTAGTGTTTTACAAGTCATCAAATGTTTTACAGGTCATATAAGCCCAGTATTCATTTCTGCCCAGGGCAGGGGGTCAGACTTAATGATCTGCTCAGGTCCCCTCCGACCCTACATCTATGAATCTAAGTCTCCGGTGTCTGAAGGATGCTGGGAGGCAAGACATTGAGCAGCAACAGCAGGAAAAGACTCTTCTAACCCAGATGGTGTTCAGGGACCCAGCTCAACGCAGATCAAGGAAGGAGGCTCCTCCAAGCTCCACCAGGATCGGGGCCAGTTCAAGGCTGGAAGTGGGATTGGGTTTGGATTCAATACAAGAAAAACTGCGCAGAATAGATGGAGAGTTTATCTTGTAGTCCATTAATGAAAAGACAAGTTCCTTGTGGGTTTCGGTCTGAGCCAGACCAAAGCGTAGATTTGGATAAAGGTTTTCAGATCTCATCCACAACAATATCAAGCAAGCCCAGCTTCCATGCAGATGCTGAAAACCAACCACTCCAGGACATGTCAAACACCAGACAGTGGTATATTCATGAAGAGGGTGGCAGGTTGGACTTTCTCCATTGATATATATTGTTGTTCACTATTGTTTCAGTGAAGGAGTAACATGGTTATCAGCAGACAAATCAGTTAAAACAGGGGTTTTCAACCTTTAACAAGTGTACCCCTTCTGTCTCAGTTTCAGCTCATGTACCCCTTTATATTTTTTCTTTTCTTTTTTTTTTTTTTTGGGGGG